CAGGCACTTCCTATTAAATGATGTGGGAAAAGTGCCCCAAGATTTGCATAACCTACTTGAATCATCCTGCGAGAGAGAGAAAAAAAAAAAATCTGAAGTTCAATATAATTTTTGGGTTGTACTGCACAGCTTTAAGCATTTTTGTTTTCTTCAATTATCCATGTGCTGCTGTCTCCCTGCTGACATTTCCTGTAGGATTGTAGGAGCTCTTGGCCTATCCTTGTATTTTCAGCTATTAAAAATATTCCAACATTCAGCAGACAAACTTTTGGACGTTTAGTTCAAGAATTTCCACCAAAAAGAAAATTGTTCCTTTCATGGCACAAGATTCTGCTGCAGTGATGGGTTCCATTAAACATTTCCCTCATTTTTCTTACATATTTCTCTCTTTTAGTGCCAGTTACAGCTCGAGGACAAATGCTGGCACTTTTCTCGCATAGATTTCACACTTGGTTCACTTTAGCTTAGTTGTGAACATATCAGACTTTAAATTTAAAAATTCCTTTTGGTTATTTCTTCTGAAATCATGTGGCAATAACCTAAAAGGAACACAGCAATTTTGAAGGTCTGTATTTTATTTTAAAATAATTAAATATTTTTTTTTTTACAAAATTATGTGGAGCCTAAACAAACAAACCAAAAAAATGAGAGGAAAAAAAAAAATAAATAAAGGAACAAAGTGGGTTTTTTTTCCCAGGATCTTTTTTAGGTCTGAGGCTGTTCATCTAAGGGGACACCAAAAGATGCAGGAGTTCTGGATTCCCTGAATACGCCCAGAAAAACACTGGATAATTACATGTAACAAACCCATCCCAGTGTTCCACCTGGGAGAATTTGGTACCTGCAGGTGTCCTGGTACTTGCCTAAAAACCGTTCCTGTGAGCTCTAAAATTTCATTCCTTTTGCTCCTTTGTATGACAGTTACAAAAGCAAAAGAGAGAAAAAACCAGCTCGTGTAATTTAAAAAAAAAAAATCTATAGAAAGTTTGTAAAGCAGAGCCTTATAAAAAGACAATAAAATTGAGGTTTTTTTGTTCTTGATACAGCACCAGGTGAGGACAGTGAAAGATAAATGAAGGAGAGAGGAGTTAACCCGCTGAAAACTTTGTTTTATTTCTCTCTACTGACACTCATTAGTGCCAACATTTTAAAAGCCTCTTGCAAGGAAGTTTTTCTTTAAAAATTCTCCATGGGATCCTCTTTGTTGTGGAGATACCTTTTATGAGGAAAAAAGTCCTCAGCTCTCCATCCTTCCCTGGAGCTGGGAAGTAACAGCCAGGGCAGGGGGACAAAAGGATCCCTGCCCCTTCTCAAGCTTTTCTTACACGTCCAGAGATCCACTGTGCTTTTCCTCGGGTGAAATAATGCAGAAGGAGAAACCTGGCAATCCAGAAATGCTGGCTGGAGGCAAGGGAAAAGAGAGAAAGCTGCTCACACGCAGCTTGAATTCACCAAATGTGGTGAATAATATGTTTTATTAAACCATATTTATAGTTATAATTTATAACTTCTATTTATGGTTTATTTATATTTTAATTATAGTTATACTTTATATTTATAGCTATAATTTATATGTATGTTTATAAATAATGTATATTTATATTTTTTTATGTCTACCACTCCCATCCCAGCACAGCCCTGTGACTCTTCCCCACCCACAAACACACCCACCCCAACATCTCCTGTATTTTTAACAGCAGGGCTCTGGTACACAACTTCCTGCAGGAAACGTGAGCCAACAGTGGCAGCAGAGCACAGGAAACCCCAACACTACAAAACTCCCTGCAAGGCCTGACACGCAGAACACCACAAAGTTCCCCGTGCCACAAAAAAAAGGGCATCTCCAGCTTGCAGATTCCCCTCACAAAACACTTTGTGGATTTGGACAGAACAGGGGTTATTCAGCATAAACTCGGCTCAAATCCTGCGCCCCAGAAAAACCCATCTGGGAACCAAACTCTTACAGGTTGGGATGAAGCAGGAACAGCTGCAGCTGTCACCCTGTCACGTCCTTAAGCAAATCCAGCCATTTGAAGTCCAAACTTTTCTTTAGAGATGCCTTTTGGTCTTTATTAATCACCAGTGAGATGGAATTACACGCAAAATTCAGCTGAGAGGTAAAATGAAAAAGGAGGGGGGAAAAAAGGAAAATGTTTAATTACTCAGTTTGGGATTGTTGGGAGAGTTTTTTCATCTGCTGTCAAAGAAGAGAATGGCAACTTTTGAGATGCACTGGAAGGCAGAGCCTTTGTCCTTTGCACTTCACTGGTCACCATCTGCTGAGTTCAAGGGCATCATGCTGAAATCAGAATTTTTTGTAATAAATATTCCAGTAAATTTTGGATACTGGAACTTGGAGTTTTGAAACCACTGTAGCTCCAGTTTACCACAGATGTAAAAAGGGCCTTGCTCACTTTTAACCATCCTTAATTAACCACATTAAGCAGTTCCTACTTCACTGCTCAGAAACATCTGTTCCTATAAGCCCCGTGTGGTAAATATATCATACAAAAATCTAATATTTTTGGGTTTTAACTGGTTTCTTGATGCTGAATACAGAGGTTGCAGAAGATCTCTGGCTTTAGAAGGCTGATGACTGGAGGAACGAGCTGCTGTGACCAGCGACTTCCTGGTGGGTGATGGGGAAGCAAGACACGAGAGAAGGCTGAGGAGGAGACGTAGGTGCACAGCTCACAACAAAGTGGTGCTGCAAACCACATCCAAATCAAATCATCAAACCAAATCATCACCAGCTGCAGCTAGTGAGCAGGGAAACAGGAAATCCAGCAGCCTGGGTGTCCCTCCTGAGGACGTGGGTTAGTCCTCAACACAGCTTGATGGCTGGACTCGGTGATCTTTTCCAGCTTGGAGCTTTTCCATCCTGTGATTATTTACTTGACGTGAGAGACTGAAGTGGCTCGTGCATTAGACATTGCTAAAATCATCAATCAATCAATAATCAATCGATTTGCTCACTGTAGCAAACTGCAAAGGAACTGCTGTCCATCTGTGGCCACCAGAGCCACCCCTCCCCAAACACCCCTGCTAACTGGAATGTTGGATTTTGAACCTGGGATAAGACAAAGGTGGTACTTTTGTCCAATTATCTAGGAAGAAGAATGGATCCACAAGGGTATTGGAAGAGAGACTGTGATGCTGCCAGCTCACAAATTCAGGGGGCAAGTTAGGATGTGCAAAGGAGCACAGCCCAGCTCAGGCTACAGACTGATAAGGGACTCTTTTTCAGCTCTGAACAGGGCACTGCCTCTTTGTCCCTGCTCAAGGGAACTCGGGATAACTCCTGGGATAACTCCCCTGCCCTGGAATATCAGCACATTCACAGGTAGCCCCATGGTGTTCACCTCGGCCATAATGGGCCACAATGGACTGAGCTGTGCTGACAGAAAAGGCAGCTGCATCATCCTTGAAGGAGTCAAAGAGTCCCAAAGTGCCCCACGCCCCACAGCATTCCATCATCCAGGGTGAAACTCCCCCTCCAGGGGAGGCACCTGGGAGTTCCCACTGAGCCCGAGTGAACATAAACCCAGATTTTGTGTTCTGTGCATTTCTCCCACCACTTCTTGAGATTCCCCCTCATCCCCTCGTGGATCCACTCTGTGACCAGCAGCTGGACCAACAGACACTGAGATTGCAACAACCAAGTCTCATCACAAGACCTGGGGGTGGTGAGATCTTCCTCCTCTTATCCTTTCCCTCTCATCCTTTCCCTCTCTTTCTTTTCCTTATATCACATTTTCTTAAGTGTTACTTTTATGCTTTCATATTTTCATATTAGTACAGATAGTAACAGCCAAAATGGCTACATGGCTGTTTTCTTCTGCAACCAAATTGCTCTAAATTAAACCCTTCATATATTACCTACATATATCATTATTAAACCCTACGTATATATATATTTTTTCCCCAAACACCAGTTTTACCCTTGGCTTTCTAGGGTGGGTTGTACCACATGTAGGTGGAACAAATCCCGTGGAGTTTGCAGCAAGCTACAAATGACAGCAGCTGGCTAACGAGCAACGTCACTAATTATGATTTTCCCAGGTCAAAACCTCCTCAGAGAGGGAATGCTTCAGCATGGAGAAACAGCGCCAGGATTTCCAGGCCTTTATTGGCTTGGGTTGATGATAATTGAGTGTTACCTGGAGGTCAGAGGGGTGGAAAGATCTGGGAGAGATGCACAGCTCCTCTCAACGTGGTGCTTCATGGTTTCCCCAGGGCTGCGTTGAACACCCGTGCAGGAAATGCAGCAAAAGAGCTCTGAATGTGACACTGTGACACGGAGCTTGTGACCAGCCATGTTCGGGCTGAGAACGGTCACAGTGAGTGACAGCCTGGGGGTGAGGGACCATCACCCCCTCTGCCAGAGTCACATTCCCAGAATCATTTGGGATGGAAAAGACCTCCAAGATCATCCAGTCCAAGCTGTGCCTGACCCCCACCTGTCCCCAGCCCAGAACCTTGAGTGCCACCTCCAGGAATTCATGGGACACCTCCAGGGATGGGCACTCCAAACCTCCCTAGGCAGCCCCTTCCAAGGCCTGACAACCCTTTCCATGAAGGAATTTTCCCCAAAATCCCCCCTGAGGCTGCCCTGGCTCAGCCTGAGGCCGTTCCCTCTGCTCCTGTCCCTGTTCCCTGGAGCACAGCCCGACCCCCCGGCTGTCCCCTCCTGGCAGGGACTTGTGCAGAGCCACAAGGTCCCCCTGAGCCTCCTTGGCTCCAGGCTCAGCCCCTGCCCAGCTCCCTCGGCCTCTCCCCACACCACCAAGGCTCTGTCAGTCCTTGCTGAGCTCAAGGAGGTCTCAGGGAACTCGTCCCATCCCTAAGGAGTGGCACAGGGTGGGTGAATCCAGCCCCAGCACAGCGCTCCATTCCACACAGGCTGAAGTGACAATGGCACAGTGGCCCCTGCCATGTGCCACTGCGAGTGAGCTGCAATAAAAGTGTCTTTGTGCAGACACAGCCACGACCAAGAAAAATATTTGAGCTGATCACTGCCGAGCTCGGGGCGGGTTTAATCACAGCTGAGTGTTCACCAGGGAGTTTGGTTCTCACTTCTTTTTCTTCCCCTTCTTTTTGAGAGAGCCAGGCCAGGGGTGGCCCCGGAATTCCAGGAAGGCAGCGGCATTGTGAGAGATGTAGTAAGCGTTGAGCATGGCAGCTGGGCTGAAGAGATCCACTTGTTTCACAACCTTAGTTGCACCCTTTTTGGAGCTTTTGTCTTTGCCACCCTTGGGTTTTTTGGTTTTGCCTGCCTGCAGAGAGAAAATGACCACAAAGCCACTCAGTTTTGGGTCTTTGTTGTCTCACTTTTGGGTGAGAGACTCAGAGAGCTGGGGGTGTTCAGCCTGGAGAAGGATTCAGGGAGAGCTTCCAGAACATTCTAGGGCCTGAAGGGGCTCCAGGAGAGCTGCAGAGGGACTGGGGACAAGGATGGAGGGACAGGACACAGGGAATGGCTCCCACTGCCAGAGGGCAGCCATGGATGGGATCTTGGGAATGAGGAATTCCTGGCTGGGCTGGGATTGCCAGAGCAGCTGGGGCTGCCCCTGGATCCCTGGAATGTCCAAGGCCAGGCTGGACATGGGGCTGGAGCAGCCTGGAACAGTGGAATGTGGTTGGAACAAGATGAGCTCTCAGATCCTTCCAACCCAAACCATTCCATGACTCCAAGACATCCCAGAGCAGCTGTTTTGTTCTTTTTAGTCCTGCCTCACAAAGCCCCTCACCCAGACCCCAGTACCTTGTGGTGGTTTTATGTAAGGACTCACAAGCATTTATACACCTTTCCAATCCCTGCAGGCTGTGACCACCTCTAAAACCATCAGACTGAGCTGATCCCTGTCCCTCTGCGCTTCCATCGGGCTAAAAGAAGGTGTGTGCACAATGAAAGTCAAACAATTCTCTACTTAAAAAATTGGTTGTTTTTTAATTACTACATGAGGATGCAATCCTGGAGTAACTTGGCCTGTGTTCATCCGTTCCTGTGTGCCCGCTTGGATTTTAACCCTCCTACAGCTTCCATGGGTCTGCGATGGTGCTGCTCTCCCACCACTGCTGGTTACACAAATCCAAACCCACATACACAGTGTGATTTCCACGTTCTGATTTCTAAAAACTCCTTTCACAGCTCAGCTCTACTCAGTGCAAACGGGAAAAACATTTTTGCTCTGAGGTGTGAGGACAGAGTAAAGGGCACAATCCTCAGAATCAGCTGGAACCAACGAAAAGCTAAAGCAAAAATGTAAAAATAATCAAATTTTTAATCTAAACCACACAGACCCTCTATTACAGAAGCAAAAAAGAGATAAAATAAGAGTGTAAACTGCAGCTGCTGACAGCTAATTTGCAGAATGAAACTACTTGAGCTCAGACATATGTTTGAGAGAGCACAAGCCTCTTTAGCAGACTTTAATTGGGCAGAATTTGTGGAATACTTCACATGCTGCAGGGACATGCTGGTGCCAGATTTTCCAGCCAGCCAGTCACCTGAGTCCCATCCCTTATTTGCTGAAAGTGTCTGGTGGATTTTGTGAGCACTTGTAGGCTCCTGATAGGAATTCAGCCTGTAGCTCATCTTTCCAAATATAAAAGACGCTCGCAGGCTTTATATGCTATGTACAAAATTTTACAGCCTGCAGCCAAGAACAAAAAAAGCTAAAAATCAGAATTAGGTTTATACTTGCACACAAAGTAAATTTAGGCAGGTCAGTTCTGTCCTGCAGCTGTGGGAAGGAACCTTTTGGATATTAACCCTTTTCCTTAAAAAGGTGCTAGCAACACTTCTGAAGGATCAAAGGTGTTTTACCATGGCTGAGTCTTTTCATGGTGAAGTGTCATATCAAGCCCTGGAGATGGACCCTGAAACACAAAATTACATGGTTAGTTACACAGTGTAAAGCACCTGCTTCTGTGTCAGTCCCCACTAAACTTTGAAGAGAAAAAGGGAAAAAATAGTCCCTTGCAAAACCAGGTCGAAGTGTTTAGGGGGTAATCTCTAAAAGCTGATACTCACCTGTGAAATCAGCTGCTAATTGTAAAATCCCAGGACTCTGAGCTTTTCAGCAAAGCCCTCGAGGTTTCCAATCACAGAATCCTGGACAAAACCTCCAAGACCAAGCCCAGCCATTCCCCAGCACTGCCAGGGCCACCAGTGACCCCAGGTGTCCCCAGGTGCCACATCCACGGGGCTCTGAAATCCCTCCGGGGATGGGGCTCCCTCCAGCCCCGCAGCTCTGCGAGGGCCGGACAGCTTTTTTAGGAAAGGAATTTCCCCAGCCTAAACCTCTGGCACAACCTGCCGCTGTTTCCTCTTGTTCTGTTCCATGGGAGCAGAGCCCGACCCCGCCTTGCCTGCACCCTCTGTCAGGGAGCTGTACCGAGCGAGCAGCTCCCCCCTGAACCTCCTTTTCTCCCCGGCTGCCCCAGCCCCACCTCCCTCCGTCACCGCCCGGTGTAGAAATGGCAGAATCTCACCTTCCCGTCCCCCCATCACCGCAGCTCTGAAGAAACCCCGGCCCCTCTTCCCCCGCAGGGCCGCCATGGCCTCCCACCCCCCCTTCCCCTCAGCGTCGCGTTGTCATAGCGACCCAAAGGGCGGGACCTCGTGCTGATTGACAGCTCGGTGTCCAATCCGCTGCTGAGGCGCCCGCCCGCCACCCAATCAGCTGCCGGGGGCGCTTCCCGCCGCTGCGATCGTCGCGGGGAAAAGGGCGGGAAAAGCTGTGAGAGGCCTGAGGGGAGTGGCCCCGCCCCGGCCACAGCCACAGCCAAAAGCCCCAGAAATGGCGCAAAACCCTCACCGCTGCCACTTGGAGCTGAGAGGAGGAGAGGAGCAAGTCGCACTTTCCAAAGGTCTTGGAAAGATCGGCGTTTGCTGGGCTGTTTAGTGGAATTTTCACGTTATTGCTGCTTGACGTGCGGGGCAGTCTCTGTTTAAATACCTGACTCAGCCTCCTTCACCATAAAAATATTTAAAAAACAAACTCTGCTTTGCATCCTCGCAGAGCCACGATTCCGGATAGCAGGCTCTGAAAATGATGTGTAATTCAGGTTGGATATTTTCAATAAATCCCCATAAACCGAGGCTTAAGGCACAGAATTGATGGAGGTGGAGGGGTCTGAGGGAGGGATAGGGACAAGAAGGGTTCATTTTGTTCTCTGCACCTTTTTTAGACACAACAATTTTATCTAAGGGTAGTAATGCTTCTAAAGGTGGGATGATTTTTAAATTTGGGAAAAGAACTATGGGAAAGAGGAGTCTCTCCTGCATCCCTCAGCACCAGATTTTCACTTGCAAAGCACTAAAAAAATTAGGCACAAGTGAAAAATGTCAGTATGGACTGGATTCCCTCATAGAAAAAAGAAATAGCTCATAATTGCAGTATTGCCAAACTCCAACAAACACATCAGCAAGTCTGCCTAGATCATGGGTTTATTTTTACCTTTAACATTAACCTCTCTAAATGTGCTCTCTGCTGCATAAGTGAATTTCCTTCCTTCTTGCCTAATAAAAATACTTGGTAGTGTAACTCAGGAAAAAATTCTGCAGATTTGGGAGTAAAATTCTCTTGAATGAGCCTCGGATAATGAAAGCAAAAATTAAAAATAAATACTGGTTTCCACTCTGTTCAGGGAAATTCAGTGTCATCTGTATTAACAAACTACACAGCATAAAAGAAACAATCATAATTACACTAATTATCTCCTTTTAGCACAGACAACTGTCCGGAAGCCACATTATAATTACTGAGACAAAAAGGAAGGCAGAGAGCACTGAAATGTTCGATCAAGGAGACAAAATTCATCCTGTGCAGTCAAATGTTGTGTTTTGTGGCAGTGCTTGGACCTGGCTGCAGAACAAGCTGCTGTTTACACATGCAAGGCTTTGATAAATAATTAAGGGAAGCTTCTCAAACTCCAGAGGATAATGAGCCTGACCTCATACAGTCACTTCTGTGGTTACAAGTGGATAAATACAGAGGCAGCCAGGACATCTCAATGTTGTTATTTTTATGGAAATATTCATGGGAGAAAAAGGAGGGATTTTTTTTTTTTAACACTGCCAGACTGAATGGATAAAAGGCTAAATTCCCTGCCCCCTCTTCTTTTTTTAAACCATTCTCTCCTTTTCTCAACTCTGAAAGGAACTTTGTATCTTTGTAGCCTTTTATCCTTCACCAAAATTTACTTTAAATTCACCAAACAGCTCTAAAGTTGCTTAGAGAAGACAGAGGAGAAATTAATAACTCAATTCTGTATGCTTTATATCCCTAGGAAACAGGAAGAATCTACAAGAAAACAGGAGAATCTGTGCTGAGGTGCTGAAGAAAAGGTCTTACCCACAGCAGAACTTTTAGCAGCCACCTGTAGGGTAGAAAAAAAAGAAAAAAAAAGTTCTTTATTGCAATTGCAACAGGGACTGGGAACACTGAGGGGTTCCTGGAACCAACAGTCCTGCTGGAGTGAGATAACAGATGTTCCTCCAGCTGTGCAGAAACCACCCAAAACTTTGTTCTTAAACTGCCTTGCTAAACATATAAAATGATGATTCCTTAATTGCTGGCCCCCAGCTCTTCTGAGAATTTTTCATCAGGAGAAAATCCTCATTGTCAAGGAAAAAAAAAAATTTGAAACTACTGATTGCTTGCCAGGATGGGACATAAATATTTCAAATAAAGGCGTAGACTCTCCCCAAGTAATTTTTTTGTGCAGAGGTTCAGGTTTTCTGTGGAGATCTCTCTCTGGGAAGCAGAAAATTTGATGGTGGTGGTGTGAATAAACTGTAATCCAGGAACAGTTGTACCACCCTCCACCACACAGCCATTCAGTTAAGAATTTGTATTTCTAATCTCTCTCAGTAAAAATTACAGGCACTGAAAAGCACAATTTAAATATAAAATACAGAAAAATGCACATTGGGTATGTACTGTTCTTTTTTTTTTTTCCCAACATATTGTGGGAAAAAAAAAAGGTTTGAGCCAAACACCAAGGGCTTTTTAAAATTTTTTAGTAATTCATTCAATTCCCCCTTGAGTGGAGATGGGCAGGGATGAAGGCTGAGTTTGGGGGATGTTTTTGTCCTTAAAAACATAAAAAAAAAGAAACATTTAAATTAAGACACAGGAAGAAAAAGCTTAAATAATGAGGTGTCCTTTAAAAGTTGGTTTATTTTGAACAAAAGCGTATCTTAAAAGGTTTTAAAAGGCTTAATGGCATTTCCATGAACAAAGCCTTGGACAAACCCCATGAAAGAAACATTCCCAGGTTAGTTAATTATTTAAGCAATTAGCACAAATTCTGCCATAACAAACACTTGTTTATTTAGGGCTTCCCTGCCCTATGAACACACGATGCTTTGACAAATGCCACCCTCATGCAACGCAGCTTTACTCAAGTGTAGCGTTCATGATTTCATTTAAGTATTCAGTTATTAAACTGATAGAAAGTTTACAGCTCAATATCCTATTCATTCTGGAATTTATGGACCACAGAATCCACTCTTTTCCTCATAAATTGTTCACCAATGCCCCTTCCCTCCCTACCCTAAGGCCTGGCACAGACATTCCCCCAAACAACCAAAAATCTGTGTTTTTTAGCGTGCTACTTGTTGTCTCCTCAGGGCTGGAAGGGCTGAAGAGGATGTGGAATCATCATGACACTCAGGGAGGAGAGAAAAGGGATCTCCAACACTGCACAGCACAGGGGTGGTTCTATAAAGGTGAGTGAGGTGGAGGAGAGCGGAGGTGACGGGTGGGTGTCCAGGGGACATGCAGGACCGGTCCCTGGTGGCACCAGCACTCTGAGCTGGGCTGGGTCACCCCAGCAGCAGTGCCAGCCCAGGGACAACACGGAATTCTGTCTCCATCCCAAGCCACGCTGTGTTCCTGCTGTGGCAGGGTGGTGTTGGAGCAGGTCAGCAGCCAGCCAGAACCAAACAGACCCAAACAAGCCAGGCACAGCCGGGAGGGATGGAATTCCCAGCTGGGAATCCCTACACCAAGCCTCCATGGAGACACACCTGGGCTCTGAGCTCACTCTGCAACCAAAGGTCTCCAAGAAGTCACAGGATGACCTCCAAAAAGAGGTGTCTGCTGGGCACAGAGAGACTTGGTCTCTTTGGAAAGTTTAGGGATTGTTTTTTTCCCCAGCTGTGCTTTAAAACCCCCCAGATCCAGCCCAGCCCGTGGCACCGCCAGCCCTCGGGGAGGCGGGAGCGGGGCAGGCAGGGACGTGGCTGTCACTGGCAGTGCAGCAGCCCTTCCCAACGAGGAGGTGGCTGTCACTGGCAGTGCAGCAGCTCTTCCCAACGAATGGGCTGTGAGAACACCTCCCGCTCCAGCCAGAGCTCGTAGGAGTAGTGGAAGTCCTCGGGCAGCTCCAGGCGCTGGCCCAGCACGCTCTGCAGGCAGTTGTCCACCGGGGCGAACTCCGAGTCCTGCGGCTTGTCGTACCTGCGGCTGTTGAAGGCTTCGATGTTGGCCCTCAGCGTGCACTCCTCAGCCTGGAAATCCCACGGCCTGGCGTCAATGTCTGCAGTGAAGGAGGAACAGCACCCAAATAATGTGGGGAACACCGCTCTGACAAGGTCTGAGCAAAGGAAAGGCTGAAGCTTTCATGGGAACACCGCTCTGACAAGGTCTGAGCAAAAGAAAGGCTGAAGCTTTCAAGTGAATTAACCAGAGTCACTCCTAATTATTATTATTCCTAACCAAATCCCATTATGTGCGCATTTTCATTTAGGATAACCCATAAAAATGTAATTATTCCTGCATTAATGTAATTATTCCTGCATTATTCCTCCATACACAGCGCCTGCTTTTTTCACAAAGACCCCACCACTTTTACTGAAAATCTCCGCTGACCACTGAAGCAGGGATCAAGATTTAAAACATTTAAAACCTGGTGAGCTTATTATGAGCTACTAACCACAAATATTTTAAAATTTGGGGAAATGTAACTATGAATGATACCGAAAAGCTGCAATAACCATGATATTATATCATATTAGATAAACCTACAATATGAAAAGAATCCCAGTATTTTCAAAGCTGGCTTTCACGAGCTCTAAATCTGATGGTGCAGAACAGTGCCATGAAACTTCTGGAAGAAATCCCCAACGGTGACAAGCATTTTAGAGGTTTTAGGCCAAAGCAAGTGAAGCTGATTGCAAAGCCCCAGGCAGAGGGATGAGGCCGGGCAGGACTCACCATTGCCGTAGGCCCAGTCGTCGTTCATGCGGTGCCGCACCTTCTGGTAGATGGCAGACATGGTCTTCATGTTGCTCTTCCTCCACTGACGCCCCAGGTACTTGGTCTGGATTTTCAGCAGCTTGAGCACGTAGAGCTGCATCATGGCCTGCTTCACCTTCAGAGCCCGCTTCAGGATCGGGGCTGATTTAAACACCACCAGCATCTGCCAGGAAATCAACACCCATTAATGCAGAGTGCTCGGGGAGCCGCACAAACGCTGTCTGGGCTGATTTGGGCACCAACACCTGCGCCTCGTACACCACAAACCCCCAGGAGGGAGAACAGGAGCGTTCAGCACAACCAACACTCTCTGCACGGGGCTTGAGGGTCACAGAAATAATGCTATTTGCAGGAGAAAAAGTATTTCTGCATTTAAGGCTCAATCTGTGAAAGAAAAAAAGGGAAGATGATGAAGAGAAGAAGCTCCAGCACTTCCACAAGAAACCCTGAGCACAAGGCCAGGCTGAACCTGCTCTGTAGAGCCAGGGACGTGCTCCAGGTGAAATGCTGGAGGGTCTCATGGGGAGGGGACATCCCCTTACCATTGTCCTCGAGTGTTTCCACTTGGTCAGCTTGTTGAGGATCCTCAGCAAGTTAATGCAGGAGAACAAATTCCTCCAGCAGAACTGGTTGTTGTCTCCGGCTTCCTGCAAGGGAGAAGTGCAACCCTGACCACAGCATTCATCAGCACCACCACAGAGATGTCCTTAGGCAGAAATCTTAATTTTTATTGTATGCACAAGCCTTATTTCTCAGGGAGGACAAGCAGCAGAGTTTCCTCCTCACTTGGGTTATCATCAGCAGATTCTGGGGAACACCATTCTGAAAGACTTCAATTCTAATCTGCTTTTAATTTAGAGTAAGAGCTAATAATGGGATAAATCACATTATCCCATCATAGGGAATATATTTTGTGGTAGATTCACATTCTTTGTTTACAGCCAGAGAGAAAATTTCAGCCTGGTGATCACCACCGCTTTTGGTAACTATACAAATTAATTCATGCTGAGAGCACACATTACAGACCAGCAAAAGCAAATCACAAATCAACACAGGATGACAATTAGCAATGTTCGTATCAAGAGGATGAGACCTTTCTGTAATAAAAATCCCCTCCCTCAGCTCCAGCTTGTGGAAATAGTGCCCGTGGCACTTTCAGTGGTAATTCCACCACTGCAGTGGAATTACCATGTTTGAACAACTCCAAGCACAGGAGAAATGTCCCACAAAAATCCTGTTTGGGGATTAGTGCAAAACAAGAGCTGCTGAATTTATAAACCACTCACAGCCAGCTACAGCCTTCTTAACTCGGGGCAAAACCTCAACCCATTCCAGGATTTTGGCACCCCTCAGGAGGAGTTTGAAAGCAGATTTACCCAAGAAAATACCATCAGCACAATCCCTTTGCTTTTAAAGGCAAGTGCCAAACAGAATCAAGGAATCACTGAGGCTGGAAAAGACCTCCAAGGCCACCGAGTCCAAGCTGTAACTGATTCCCACCTTGTCCCCAGCTCAGAGCCCTGAGTGCCATGTCCAGGCTTTCCTTGGACACCTCCAAACCTCTCTGGGCAGCCCCTGCCAATGTCCGAGAGGCAGCCAGAGGTGGCATGTCACCAGAATGTCACCAGCATGTCACTGAGGTGCTCGTGGATGCTGTCTGGTACTTTGGGGATCCCAAACTGCATTGCCTCTGCAGTGTCACATCATGCCCAGGCCTAACCTGCGCCCTCTACACCAAGTAATTTTCCCAAAGATCCCAGTGGAATAAGCCAACATCCATTCCTTAGGCTGATGGATTTGTTTGTCACCTGTCTGATGTTGTCTCTACAGATTTGAGGAAGGAGGGTCTTTCCATCAGATTTATGGGAGGAGGGAACAGACTGCACAAATTTTAATACCCCTTCTAAGGGGTGGGTTAAGCCCTTTGCAGACCCCTCTGGAACGACAGGAGAGGGAAGATGGGGACTGGGCAGGATTTGAAGAGCCTTTCCCACACATGGTGAATCCCCCATCACCTCAGCCACTCCTGATTTACACCGGGTGGGGACAGCAGTTACCCCATGAGCCCCTCCTTGGCAGACAGCAGTGCTGGACTCATCCTGGCTCTCCTTGGGATAACCAAACACACATCGCTGTGCTCAACCCACTGAGAGCAGAATCATCTGTTACATCCTCTAAGAAATGTGTTACACTGAAATATATCACTCATCAGAGTGGTAAAAAAAAAGCCAAAACAACGTCTGAAGTGCTGGCTGAAGAAATATAAATACATGCACAAACATCTGAGTACCAGGGTGTGTCTAATTCCTACTAAATCCTTACTTCCATGGGTATCCTTCCAAAGACAAACCCTCGTGGTAAAATTCAAGTTTGGTTTCTGCATATTTTCTAATTAAATTGCTCTCCCTTGACAATAACATCCACGTCTGCTGGAGGAAAGTGAAAGGTGCTGTCCTTGAATGTGACAGCTCTCAAATTGTCAAGACCCTACAGGGAATATTTTCCCTAAAAACGTTTGGTTTCCTCCTACAGCCTTAAGGCTGATTGTGAGGATTACGCAAGCCATGAAACCCTCGCTGAAGTGTCACTAGATGTCCCCATCGCTCCAGGTACGATGGAGTCTGGCAGGGCTGAGTGAGAACACCCAACGCTCAGCAGCCCGTGGATCTGGGGAAAATCCTTCTCTCTGATAATTTCGACCTTTACACACCTAAGGAAAAAAACCACAGACCCCAGATTGCAGCAGCACCATGAGATTATCCCTGCCCGGACTGGATTTGTTCAGGATCCTTCTTCATGATTTAGAGTCTCCATTCCCTGTCCATTATTTCCTGTTAACCCCAAAGCTTTCCCCTGTGCTGTCCAAGTCCAACTTCCTCAGCACTTGAATTATTGTAGTTATGAACCTGCCAGCGTTATTATCCCATCTGCAGTCTGTGTATTTGCCCAGCCCATCCTGCTGGCCAGTCTCTGGAATACTTAAGGCTCCTCTCCATATGGAATTTTGTTCATCCCTTAAACTGGTGTCTCATAAAACAGGAGTGCTCTGAGCAATTGAAACCTGGGAGGCAACAGCCTCTGGGTAAATTCTCTTTCAAAGCAGAAGAGCCTTGTCTTGACAGGACAAGAGGAAACAGCCTCAGACTGTGCCAGGGAAGGCTCAGGTTGGACATCAGGAAGAATCCCTTATGGAAAGGGGGTGTCAGGCCTTGGCAGGGGCTGCCCAGGGAGGTTTGGAGCTCCCATCCCTGGAGGTGCCCAAGGAATTCCTGGATGTGGCACTCAGGGCTCTGAGCTGGGGACAAGGTGGTGTTTGATCAAAGATTGGACTTGATGATCCTGGAGGTCTTTTCCAACCACAATGATCTTGGAAGTCTGTGATTCTATTCTGTCAGAGGGAAAACCCTAAACCTAACTATTTTTATGGGGTGCCCAACACCAGCAGTGTCTCTTCCTCACTTCCCCACAGCTGACAGTGACTCAGAATAGTGATAGGAGGGATTTTCAAGCCTGGAGGTGAAAGAAAGTCTGATTTTGAAAAGGTTGAGGGTTACAGAGAAAGAAGACAGGGAATAGCAAACCCAAGCCTTCCTTATGCTGTCACACAGAACAATCCTGGCCACAAAAACCCTTTCTGTGCTGCTTACCAGACTTTCTGCTGTGAGCTCGGGCAAGTCACAGACCGTGCAATGTGGATAATCCAGAACAGAGATGCTGCAGCAAACGGGAAAGAAGGGGCTCGTTAGCAACCAATTAAAACGAGAGAAATTTTTAAGGTGATCTACATGATCATGCTCAGGAATCTGTAACATTTTTCCTGCTCTGTGAGTGGAAATGCAACAAGTGGTGTCTCACCCCTTGGCTTAATGGAGCACATCGATGCCTCCTGGCTCCACAGCTCCATCCTGAGTGCATTAATAGGGACTCAAAGGATTTGGATCCATTAAGACAGGACAGAGGAGTTATTCATATGAATATTTTAAAAGGGGGAAAAAAGTAAACAAAATAGACCTGAGGTTCACAGGGAGGCATCTGGTTGGCAGCAAGAAAATTCACGGTGAGCAAGTATTTAGAGTATCACATTTTTCAAAGGCCTCCAGGCCTGTGGAATTTGTAAAAGTAGTAAATTAAATACACCCAGAACTGGGATTTACACCTCCCTGGCTCAGAGCATCCAGCTGCACATCCCACCTCACTCACAGGTGTGTATCCTGCCTGTGAAACCTCCATCCCAGAGCAAAGGAGGGAGCTGAGTGCTCCTGGGATATGTTTTCTCCTCACTTAAAGCACAGGACCAAAAGTGGAAATATTTACAGCAGGAGGATCAACATTACTTCCTATTTTTCTATGCGTGCCTCCTCGCACAGACACAACCATACCATGCAGGAGACAGACCAGCCTACACACACAGCTGAAGAGCAACAAAAAGAGCATCAAAAAGGAAGAAAAAGGATCTTTTTATCATTCCAACATCCCTCTGGAACTCCTCTCCAAAGAGAGGAATCCTGCCCTGGTGAGCTGTGAAAGATCTGTGCTGTCCCAGGACTTTGACCCATGGTGCTCCAGCCAGTGCCCTGCTCAAAACGGGGCTGGTGCCTCTCTCAGATCAGCAGGAAAAGGCAGTGACAGCTATGGAAAACCTGAAGGAGTCAGGAAAGCTGAATTACAGCTATAAAAAGTGGGAAAGACCTGGAAGGCCTCGATGAAGCTGTGTCCCAGAGATGCTGGGTGGCACTGGACGGCTCCCCAGGAGTGCATGTGAAGATGAAAATTACTTTATTTTAAAGATTAAGCCTATTTTATTTTAGTCCTATTTCAGCAGCCCAATCAGAGACTGGAAACCCAGCATCCAGTCACCCTCATCATGCCAAAGGGATTTGCTCTCCACATATTTCTGTAGTGGACAAGACACCCCCAAAGCCTTGTGAGGACACCTGGGTCCCCCCGAGCTCCCCAAGCACGAAGCCTTCCTGCCCCATCGCCTCTCTGTCCCCCACCAGTGGCTGTACCTGTTTTTGGCAGCGATGTAGGACATGATGTTCTGGTTGAAGAATTTCAGGATCAGCGGGATGCAGTTGGCAAACACCAGGTGCTGGGACACGTACTCAAACTGGGGGAGAGAAGGGAAAGGGGTCAGCGTGAGCTGGGCAGCTGGGAGCACCACCTGGGAATGGAAACCTCTTTCCAGCCAAAAGCAAAGCACTTGGCGTGGTTTGCCCCAGCCACCTCACAGACCATTTTGTCCCTGAAGTTTGCTGTGTGAGGTTTGTGTCGTGCACAGCAGCTGGAAAATTCCATTTGCCATAGAGAGGACACGCACGCTTCACGGCAGTGCTTTAGGAATAGCTGCACCTCATGGCTTTTCAAAATTAAATCTGTGGCAGAACAGTGTGTGGGTTAGAGGGAAGGGGTTGTAGCTATTACATGAGAAAATACAATAAATCCTCTTGCTCTCACACACTAATCCCTCAGTTCCCTCAGAAATTTTGACTGAAATTATATCCCTATTTTCCTACTTGCTTTTAATTCCTCTCTCCCTCAAAGCATTAAATGGTTTTCAAGGTCCCTTCCAACCCAAACCACTCTACAGTTCAATAATACAACAAATCTCTCCTGTCCTCTAAAGCTACAAACTGCAGCAAAACCCAATCCTGTCCCATCCTGCCCTTCCCATGCCTCTCCATCCAGATCTCCAATTTGAGAGGGAAGGAACAGTTTGTTCTCCTCTCAGCCTGGTGCCAGCTGTCAGCATTGGCACACCACAGATGACACAACACCACAGATGACACAGCACTGGGATGTGCTGGTGAGTAATCGACCCTTCCAACCCAAACCATTCTGTGGTTCACCGATTCCTTCATTTCAGACCTGCTGGAGTTCTCATGGTGCTCCCTGAGACCACCTTTGTCACCAAAAGAACAAAATCACCCAGATCAGACACAAAGAAAAGCAGAATCGGGGGATTCAGGAGAGCCTGCAGCTTTCTCCAGGCTCAGCAGCAGGCTGCAATGGCCCTCCTGCCTGGGGGAAAGAAAGGAGGGGAGCTGCTTTGAAGTGAGAAAATTTAATGAAGGCATGGGGGGGGGGGGGGGAGCAGAACAAATGTAGGATTGTAAAAATGTGGGAGTTGGTTTCATTTTACCCAATCCAATACGTGGATTTATATTTATCCTCAGTTAAATATCAGTGGGTTTTGTAACGCAGAGGGATTTGTAGCGTGCTGAAAGCTTTAACAGAAACAATTAGAAAACATTAATTGTTTGACTTGCAGAACAAGTGCAGAACTGGGCCACAGCTCATATTAGTCCTTGGGTTTTTTTAACCAAAGAAAGCCCTGAAGTGGGTGCTGTTTGATTGGTACATGCAGATGGAACAAAAATCACATTGGGAACAAAAATCAGATGGCAACTATGACCCAGATCTCCTGCCTCTGTTGAAACTGGAGCCCCAAGAACCCGATCCTGCCAAAACCAGATTAGGTGACCTCGTGAGGTCCTTCCCAGCACTATTTCTGGGCACTGGAGATGACAGAGCAAAAGAGTCTTGCCTAATCCCCTTCCTCTTCCCCCTTCTGCCAGGGAGGCTTGTGCTATTTCCTAAATTTAACCTGAAAGGATATTCCCAGAAGTCTAAAAGCTCCTGCCACGTGAGTAGAAATGATACTGTCAAAGCACAACGGGGTTATCCCAACCTGAGCGACCCTGTACAGATCCTGGAGCTATGGAAATGTGATTACAGCTCCTCATGGAAACTCCTCCTGGAAGTCTTCCAGGAGAGGGTTTATCAGGACCTTCAAGGCCAGCTGGGCAATGCCCATCCCTTCCTCTAGTTCCCACCTGGTAGATGTGGTTCAGCTTGAAGTGCTTGAGGAGCAGCAGCAGCAGCGCCGAGATGCTCTTCACGATGATCTCCTTGTGCCTGTTCACGTCGATGCCCAGCTTCATGCTCTGCAGGACGGTGATGCTGGGGTGGAGGGAAAACAGCACTGTGGCTGTGGCAGCAGGGAGCCCAAGGGACCCTGGAGTTCTTCATCTGGGTGAGCTCTACAAAACCAAGCACCTTCGCTCCCCCCAAGACTCCCATTTCCACTCATCCTACCTGGTGATGCCAAAATGCGTTCAAAAAGGAGTGGAAAAAATGATGGATTGCCCTCCACCAGGAATCCTGGCAGAGCAGTAGGGAGGACACCTCCTATATGCTGACAAATCTTTATGATTTGGGTCAATTAGCAGGATTTTATCATTTGTGCCACTTAGCTTGGAGTGGCTGCACTCAAATCATCGCAACCTCGCTTCCTTGGCTTTCACAGCTCTGCCCCGGTGCCAACTGTAATTTACACCTGCCCAAACAAATACCCCAAATCTGGAGGCCCCCAGACCTATTGGCTCTCCTCCTTGGTCCAAGACTTGGTAGCAAGGCTGGGATGGCCACCTAGTGAGGAACTTACGGCATCTCTTCAGGCAACACGTCTGCCAGGATGTTGATGGAGTCAGTCTTGGCCTTGGAGGTGGGTGCAGCAGCCAGGAGGATCTTCAGCAAAGCAATCTGCAGGAGAGGCCAGGTGTGGGGGGATGGTCCAGGAAAGGGAGTTCCTTCCTTCTCATTCACTTGCCAAAACTGGACAACTCCAAGCCAACTCTACAGGGTTTCTTTCACCAGGCCACACTCAGCCTCTGACAGGCAGGACAAGTGTGGGGAGCTCAGCAGCACTGTTTGATCCTTAACCTAAGGCATCACATGTGCCTGAGCTCTGGTAGGGTGGGTAAAACAGCACAAGGAACGTGTGAAGTTTAAATGCACTTAAATCTGTCTCTCTCTACAGAGCCCATGTTACCCAACCAGCATCTGAGAATCCTCTGAATCCCTTCTCTTGGACTGTACTTTCCTCCCAACTCTGCTCAGGATTCCCACCAAAATCTCACCATCCAGGTCCTGAACACCCTCCTGTGCTGATCTCTGCAGCTCCTGGACTGGCACCATTCCCTACTCCAAATCTCTTCCTTCCTTTTAAGGAACAGGGCCTTACCATGTACTGGGGGAGATTGTACAACATTGCTCGATACAAGACCTCACAAGGGGTTTCTTGGACTTCCTCTTCCCCCTAGGGCAGAGAAACATTAAAAACAAGGGAGAATGAAGCAAAAATAAGCATGGATTTACGTGACACCTTGGAAATCTCTCCCTCTCTCTGGTGACAGGATGAAGCAACTTCTTACCAGAGACATGGGGCACTTCTCCAGCTCCTCCTCGTTCTTGATCTGGATATCCGAGATGGAAACGTACTTGTGCTGGCAAAACACAGACAGAGGCAGAGCAGTGTCACAGCTGAAGGAGGAAACACGGCCAGTGATGGTCACAGCAATCTCCCAGTGAGGTGTGCAGGTCACAGCAGAGCCATGGGGAACTCATCCCTGTGTGGGACATCCCTCTGTCCCTGAAGCCACTCACACCTCCTGCCTTTGCTTACTTCCACCTGCTCCTTCTAGGAGCTCTCTGTAAGGAATTAGAGGAACAATCACCTCTAAAAAACACCCCAGACCTTGGATAGGGTCAGATGGCCTCTGGAGAGGTCTCATTCCCTGTGGAGCACTGCAGGAGCCAAGGCTGGCTGTGCTTCCCTCTGGGAACAGCACCAGTTTGGGAATTTATGTCCAAACCCAGCTCTGAAAGTCTTTCAGCTCCAAAACGCACAGCAGACACTTTGCTACACCTCCTATAAAGGGGAAGTAAAAATGCTAGAGAGGCTACTGGAGGACTCGGTTTTTAAGTTTTTGCCTCAATTCCTGCAAGAAGCACCAAAAGTTTTTCCTGTGGCACCCAACTTTTTACTCCCTGCAGTAAGAGTGTTTCAGGGAGGTTGGCCAGGAGGATCCACGTGGTGGACATCCCATGGAGCCACCATCTCACCTGCTTCAGGGTCTTCACACTTTCATGGATCGGCCGTGGGAGCCCTATCAGGGTTTCGGTGTCCCTGGGGAATAGGAAAGAAAGTCAGGACATCCATGATCAAACATTTCCATGTCATAAAAAGGTAAAAGAGGGAGCCTGAAGCCTGCTGAATGCATCCCAGATGGGTCAGGAATTGGGAGAGGTGTTGGCCTGAGCTGCTGCCCTCCCACCTCCTCCTCATCATGCCTGCACGAGAGAGGAGAGACATCGGGGTGAAGAACTGGGGTGAAATCAGATTGAATCAGAATTTGGGTGAAATCAGATGACATCAGAAATAGGGTGGAGCCCAGCACTGCACCTAAAAATGAACGTACCCTGCTGGGCCTGTGCCAGGATGACTCTGAACCCACAGCTTGATTTGTTCACAAACTGGGTAATTTGCTGTGGATACCAAACTGCCCCAGCTGCCTTTCACATCAAACCAGTTCCTGACTTGGGCCAGCGGTCACCTATTCTGGGCTAGGTCTGATTTTTAATAGAAAGAGGTCCCTGGGGACCAGTGTCTCCAGGAACATGCTTTTCTAGCACTGCTTTCATTGCTGCAGCTCTGGCAAACCCAGCACTGCCTCATCCTGAGCGTGTCTTGAGCTGGGAAAACCTTTGTGCACACCTCCCACCACTTAACCCCCGCCGATGGAAGCTGCAGGGCAGATCTTGTGGATGAAAAACTCACTGTCCCAGCGTGAATCCAATGAATTTGTTCCTGCTTGCTTCCAGGAAGTGCTCGATGTCTTTCTGTCTGATGGAGCAGCGGAGAGACAACAACAAGGAGAAGGTTGGAAAACAGCCACGTGTAAGATTCACAAGAACCTCAGATTGATTTCTAGAGATCTCAACGGCAGCGGGCAGAAGCCACTCTTGCCCTCACTGAGCCACCAACGTGAACCTAAACCATTTGTATGTGCTGTGCACCTCCATGGGAATGTGCGAGTAGACTGAGAGGAGTTTTCTGCTAGCAGCACCTTTGTATCCACCTCCTGCGCTCCTCACACGCTTCTCCAAGGAGCATCTGCTCACTCTGAGAGAACAAATGTCATCTCCACAGTCTGTCAGAGCACACGCTGCTCCGACAGCAAGCTGACATCTTGTCCACCTTGGGCATCTTTCATGGGAACTGCTCGGCAGCTCTGCACTACAAGCAGGACATGAGCTGTGAGCCAAGGCTCTCCTGGACAGAAAGGAATCCAGCTGGATTTCCAGCCAGCAGCCAAGGAAAGCAGCAGCCACTCGGTTGCAAAGCTGAGAGTGTTAAGTGACGTGGAGCACCACGGCACCACCATGGAGATCCATGTGGGAAACCAATTCCGGCTGTGTTTCTGCTAGGAATGCTGTGGACAGACAGACTTAACCCTCTCACTGCTCCTATCTCAAAAATATCTATTTGCTCCTGTGTTTTAAAGACACTGGATTAAATCTAGGCTTGGGATAAACAACAAAAAAAACCCTCACATGGATCAGAGGGAAAGGGGCAGAGGTTTTCACCCTCTTTTCCTACCATTCCCTCATTTCATGTGTGGATAGCTGCCTTAGGAAGGAAAGGCACCAACGCCTTTATCCTTAGATGTTTTTCTCTGCCACTGAAAAAGGCTTCACCTGGCAGCACCGGGGTCCTACTCACCCAACAAGGTGTCATTAACCAGCTCCTAAGATGATTAGTCAAGGACTTTGTGCTACCAAGATCCACTGGGAATTGGTTGAGAAAGCTGACCCTGCTCCCACAGCGCCCCAGCACAGCCTCCTTCCCAGTACAACCTGGGATATCCAAAACTGGATCACCACTTATTGGGCAATGAGTTGGTTTGCCCATTTATTGGCTTGGGCTGGGTTGAGCTGAGCTCTTCCCCAGGCTGTACACACCAAAAGTGGCAAGTGGCCAACCTAGAAAGGACCAACCCTGACAAAAAGAGAAGCGGAGTCACTTCAGGTCAGCTTGCCAGAGGTTAAAAAACTTCCCAATGCTTCCCAAAAAACTTCAATGAACTCCGGGACAGGCAGGGCTGGGGAGGATGGCAGTGACACCAGGTGGCTTTACCTGACTTTGGGGGCCCAGGGGAGCCCCTTGGGGAAGGACACCCTCTCGATGGGCAGGCGCTGAGCTGGCATCGCGGGGATGATGGCGTCCCGCTCCATCAGGTCCAGCTCCCCCTCGATCCCGCTGTCCACGTCGTCGTTCTCCTCTTCATCAACCCCTCCTTCATCGTTCTTGAAGAGATCTCTCTCGTTGTAGATATCCAAACTGTCTTGCTTCATCAGGGGCTGCAGCAGAAGGGGAAGGAAAAACTCAACTCACTCCAAGGGTTTTATTTCCCTCTCAGGTGCTGGCACCAGGTTTCTCCATCCTGAAAGGATCAAGCTCTCAGATGTTCCTCAGGTAAGGATTTCCCTCCTAGCTGTTGCCACCAAAGCCTGCACAAGAATAATTCCTTCTGTACCTCTAACCTTGCTGCTCTAGGAAGCGCAACCCCATCTTCCACCTTAAATTTTGGGGCTTCCATCTGACATCTCTTCCTTAGCAAAAGGCATTTCCATCCTCAGAACACAACACAGCAACTCCAAGAGCAGAGCTAAAAAAAGAACTTGCTGTGAGCAGTTTGTCCCTGGTGCTTATCAGCCCTTTGCCATAAGGTCAGGATGTCCTCTGGCTTCCTCTGGATCAAACACCCCATGGGGCTGATCTGTTGCAGTTGAAATTGGTGGATGAAAGACTGGACATGCTCTGACCGTGTGTACTGAGAGCCCAAAATCCCCACCAGCCCTGGGCTGAGCCCAGTGGGCAGCAGAGGAGGGGAGGGATCCTGCCCCTGGGCCCAGGTGAGACCCCACCTGCAGAGCTGCCCCAGCCCTGGGGACACAGCAGCAGCACCTGGAGCTGTGCAGAGAGCCCAGAGGGATCCATGGAGCTGCTGCAGGGCTGGAGCCCCTCTGCTCTGGAGCCAGGCTGGGAGAGCTGGGAATGTTCCCCTGGAGAAGGGAAGGATCCAGGGAGAGCTTCCAGCACATTCCAGGGGCTCCAGGAGAGCTGCAGAGGGACCGGGGACAAGGATGGAGGGACAGGACCCAGGGAATGGCTCCCACTGCCAGAGGGCAGCCAGGGATGGGATCTTGGGAATGAGGAATTCCTGGCTGGGCTGGGATTGCCAGAGCAGCTGGGGCTGCCCCTGGATCCCTGGAATGTCCAAGGCCAGCTTGGCTGGAGCTGTGAGAAACCTGATCTAATGGAAGGTATCATTTGGAACTGGATAGCCCTTAAGGTCCCTTCCAACCCAAACAATTCCACGAGCCTAAAACTGAGAAACACCGGAGCACTCGGGATTAGGGGGAGAAGGGAACCATAACCAGGAGCACTCCTGGCTCGTCCCGCCGGTGCCTGCTGGAAACCCATCCCAAACCCATCCCGGCCGGGAGGACGCTCCCGCTCTCACCCTGCGGCTGCGGTGGCCCCGCTTCTGCTGCTGCTGCTGCTGCTGCTCCACGAGCTCGATGGCGTAGGTGGGCGGGGAGGCCGCACGCATCCCCCGCACCACCTGGATGCTGTCCTCGGGCAGGGGCGGCAGCCCCAGCTCCTCCCGCCGCCGCA